CTTGGTTGCGGTGTTGAAGGCTCGCGCATCTAGCGCACTGCTTTCGCTCTCTCCACCGCTACCGCCGTCTCTCTCCAATCAAGTTTCCTTCTCCAACGCTTTCTCCAACGCCGACGCCATCTCTATCTTTACCTCTCTCTCTCGGCCTATCACGGCCGACTACCCACTGCCCCAAGAGGCGCCCAACACGGGCTTGCTGCACCACGCGTAGTTTGTCTTTCACACTAGTGCGAAGCAGATTCAGATTCTGCGCGCGGTAGTAGTATACCGCGGGGTTGTGCATTCACGCGCAATCGGTAGACTCCCACAACAACAACATCATGGCCACCTCGGAGGATTCCGAAATCGACCTCTCCACCCTCAGCAAAGAAGAACTGCAACAAGAAGTTCAACGAAGGGTGGACGCCCAACTCGCAAAGGAGAGAGCAGAAATCGCCCCACTGCCAGCAGAACAGCAGTCACCTACCATCGGCGAGCAGTCGCTACGTCCCACACCAGCCGACATACCGCCCACCGGCAACCAGCCTTCACCCTCCAGCCAGGGATCCCAATCATTCAACAATCCCACCAACGTCGCCAACATCGTGGCGCAAGCGGTCAAGGCGACAGCCGAGGCCATGTCTGGACATCAGGGCTTTGCCCACACAGGCACGTTTCGTGTCAACCCCGGCTCTGACATAGACCCTTGGCTTGGAAGTGTGAAGAAAGAGCAGGATTTGTATATTATGTTTGATGTTTTTCGCAGTAAGATGGTGTCGTATTTTCAGGAAGAGGGTGTATATGATGTATTAGGGATCACTGATGTCAAGGTTGGCAAGAGGGGTGTGGATCTAGCAGAGCTAAGGGGCATCTTCGGGACTGATGTGGTGGACAAGTCGTTGAAGTTGTGGAATATTATCATCAGCAAGATTCTATACCCTCCGATCCAGAACTTGATCATGGCATGTGAGAGTCCCCAGCAGGGGTGGAAGATCGTCACGAAGTTCTACCAAGAGAAGAAGGAGTCTGAGAAGACTAGGCTTGAGCAAGAGTGGTTGGCGTTAGAAATGCGTGAGTCGGAGAACCCACAGGATTACATAGCAAGGTCGGAAGCTCTTCGATTACGTCTTGCCTCAGTAGGAACTATCAAAGACACAACACATGCTTACAAGGACGTTGTGCGCGGCCTTCCCCCATCGTATGCCGTGCAAAAAGGAATATTGCTAGCAAGCGATGTCGTGACTTTGCATGCCCTTGAGACTGTGGTGAGGGACGCCCACATGGAGATGGAGCGCGAGAGGAGCAAGGAGCAGAGGCGCGAGGCGGAGCTCGCCCTCGTCGCGTCCGGTGCGAGCCGGAGCGGCGGGGGCAATGGGGGGGCATCCGGGGGACAAGGAGTAGTCGACGGTCAAGACCGTGAAATCCGTGATGGCGAGAGAAACCGTGACGTGTTCGTCGAAGATCCCACCGGTTTTTGCCGCTACCACCAGTCCGAACTACACACGAACGGGCAATGCCGTTACCAGCAGCCTCTGCGGCGGGCGCGCACGAGAGCAGCCGCCGAGGATCGCCGCGGGGGTGGCGGCGGAGGCCGTGGCGGCGGCTGGAGCCAGCGAGGAGGAAGACCGCCGTCGGGAGCCGGCCGGGGTGGCGGGCGCTGGGTGAGAGTTGAAGGGCAGCAGCACCACACCGGTCATGGTGGCGGTAGCTGGAGCCAAGCCTCACCCCCTCCGCGACCTCTTCGTGGACGTGGGCCTGCTGGTCGTCTGGGGCGGCACCCGGGGGGTCGAGGAACCTCGGGACGCCACGGCAGCGATTGTCGTGCCGAGAGAGAGCGGGCATGTAGAGGCCCGAGGCACGCGCGCTCCGGCCACGGGAGAGAGCAGGCGTACGTAGTGTACTACGCCCACGACGATGGCGGCTACTACAAAGACTACGGCGACTACGACGACGGCTACTACTACGATGATGGCTACCACGACTCGGGGTACGCCCACTACGTCGAAACGGGCACCGGAAACAGCTACAGCTACTCTGAGTGGGAAGACAGCCGTACGTCTGACGGGGGCATCCACTTCGTCTACTACCCTCCTGCCGGCGAAGATTCGTCCTCAACTGAGCAGCCACGTCAGCCCCCCCCGAGCAGCAGCAGCACCGCTTCCCCCTCGTCCTCTACTCCTTCTCCTGGAGCGCCCCCATGTTCGGGTGACCTCCACCTCTGCACGGCACAATCTGTGCCTCTTGGCAAGTCTCACCCCGATGATTTTTATGATAGGATGGGTGTGACGATTGGAGTGGAGTCTGTTTCGAGTGCTTCGTCTTCGCTGAGTGTAGAGTCGAGTTAAGGGCGTCCTGGTAGCGAGAAGTGGGTAGCAGATGCTGGAGCAAGCAACAGCTTCGCGAACAGCGACTTGCACATATACGACTTGCCGAAGATCCCCTCGAATAGGCAGTATGTCATTGTAGGAGATGGACGTCTGCTGTAGCTGCAAGCAATCGGTAGCATCAACCTCAGCTTTTCCCTGGAGGTTGATAACGTTGTGCCAACGACGATGTATATGAAGCTGACTGACGTGCCTGTGGTAGGGAGTCTGAGTTTCAGCTTGTTTTCGACGCATGCTGTTTCCCTTCGGCAAACCAATAATCCATGACGAGCGTGGCGTGACCCTGAGTAACGGACTGCTGTTTGCTAGAGAGGAGAAAGCTTCTGCCGCCTATGCAATGCGCATGCCTTACGACCCGTCTGCGATTGTGGTAGACTCTGCTGCTTTGCCTGCCTTCGTGAAATCCCCCGATTCCACCCCCGCTGATGGTCCAACTTCCCCTTTCCCCAACGGGAGCTCCGTGGAATCATTGGTGTCTGTTTTGCGTGCACCGCCCGCTGGCTCTGCTAGCATTGTACCTCCGACTGACAGCGTCCCGCCCACTGGTCTCACCAGTGTAGTCCCTGTGCATGACAGCGTCCAGCCCACTGGTCCTTCCAGCGTAGTTCCTGAGCATGACAGCGTCCCGCCCGCCGGTTCTACCGACGTCGTACCTCTTTCGGCGTCTGGTTTCAAGTGTGCGGGTACTTGCCCGGGTATGGATCTAGGAGATACGAGTGTGTTCACCGACGAGTTGCTCATGGACGGGTATGACAAAACCCCGTACCAAGATTTTTT